GTGGCTTCCCTGCACCGCAGGAGAGGTGAGTCGAGTGCAGGGGTTTCCCTGCGCTGTGGGGGGGGAGGTCGGCCCCGGGGAGCTGGGTAAGGGGTTGGAAGGCGGGACATGACTCTGCCCTGTAGCTGGGTATTTAAAGGGGCTGTGACTCTTTTTGTGTGTGCGGTGGGGGGTTTTTTTTTGGGAGTCTTAAAACACAGGGAGTTTCCCTAGAAACAGAAATCAGGGCATTTTATCATGGCCCTATTGAAGCCAATGACAAGACTTTCATTGACTTTAATGGGGCCAGGAATTTACCCCCTGGAATCTTGTCACTATTGGCAGCATCATTCCAACACTGACAACTGAGAGATATGAAAGTCTGAATCAGGCTTCCCTAAAACAAACTGAAAAGGTTGTGTATTAATCACATTGCTGCTTTCTTTTAGTTACTAGAGATAACTTTTCACCATGCTGTACAAGATTCACATTTGATATTCAGTTTTAGAAATATCAGTTATTGCACAAGGTATTGTGCAACACCTCTCACCATCGTATCTAAGCTCTAGCAAATACTATTATCTAGTTTGAACTTTGTAATCACCTGCTCTTCAAATGACGAGATCTGCCACCTGTAGAGCCTTAACACTTCTAACAAACCGCTTGCATCCACGACATCATCTTCTGTGACCTCTTGGCAGGATAAAGCTGGAGGTATTAAATTCAAAATGATAAATGGAGCCACTTTCATTGTTTCGATCACAAAACCTGGATATAATGGGCCTAATTTCTTTTTGTTAACAACAACAGAATGATTTGTTAACTCATGCTTAAGCAAAAAGAGCTGGCCCAACCAGTTTGGGCATAGGGACATTCGAAACCACTGATCCACAGCTGTGTGATTATTTCTTTGTTATGTCTGAGAGGAATGATTTACAGAATGACTATTTTCCCCTTTCGCAACAACTGTACACGATTGTAAATCTTTGTCCTTCAGTTATATTTATTTTAAATTTTCGCCCTCTGATTTCTCCTTCAGTTTCCATTACAACTATGCAGGGAAAGGGGCAAGACCTTGGCACCTCACCTAACTTTACAATGACTTTGAATGGAAAAATCCTTTTTCAAGGAAAGAGGAGAGAGGAGGGGACTTTGAAAATTAATGTAAATAGAAGGTTACTTATTGTGGAGCTAAATCCTTCCTTCAGTAAAAGTCTAAGAGATGGTAGAACTTAGGAAGAATACTACTGAATTGAAGGTGCTGCATTGATTCAATAGTAATGAAAACCTAGGGAAATGAAAACCCAGGCGAATAAAAACCCTCAGCTCTCAACCTCAGAATTAATGGACCTCAAGAATCAGTCAATTCTTTGTACATAGAGAACACAATCAAGTCAGCTAATTAATTTTGTTTATTAAATCCCCCAATCATCATTAAAATAATAAGAAATTTAGTTTTCTGCTCTTTTTATCCAGCATCACATATACTCTCCAATGTATGTATTTGAGAAATATCATTCTCTCTGGAAAATGTTTACATTAAATTATAGTAAAGAAAATTACATCCCAATACAATTCTGAGTGTGACACCTATGTTTAACTGTCTCACTTATATTAAACACCATGATTCTTCTAAAAAAGTAACACAGGTTTTATTAATTATTTTCTTTTTAATGTTACCTAACACTTTAAAAGTTTAACAACATGATACCTTTCAGGAGGCACAGCAAAGTAAGGGACAAACATTGGCGCTCCGACGATTCATTCTGGTCCGTCTTGTATTGGGCTGTAAAGTCCTCCAGCCACTTGATGAAAGATGGACAAGCAGATAAGCCTTGCAGCAAAGAGTTCATGAAACATGTGTTTCCTAAGTTGAGAAGACCAGGCACAAGCCCTAGAAATATGTATTAACAATTTATATTCTTGAGTCTAGGTCAGTTTATTTTTTTTATTTTTTTAACTGAAAGTGATATGGTGCATACGATTAAGATTTTAAATTTTTATCTTTTATTTGGTGATCACAACAGTTATAGATACTCACACATGAAATAATGTTATGATCTCATTATTCCATTGTAAAAAAATTAAACTTTCTCTAAAATTATTCTTGACAGAATTTCAGAGAGCTATATTTAGTTAGCATTATCAAGCATGAATTACCCTAGGATAATCTGCAAATTGCCACATAAAAAGAAATGAAAAACTGTAATTTATTTGTTTGTAATTTGTTATACTACCTACAAAGTCAAAGGCCCTGCTTCTAGGGTTCTGCCCCATGATTACTACAATAATACATATAATAAGCAATAATGGTAATAATTTTCAGAGAGGCAGAGGTGTTGATCAGTTTCAGGAAAAATAAGTAGGAGTCTTATGGCTCCTTAAAGACTAACTCATCTATTAGGGCATAAGCCCCAAAAGCATAATAAATGCATTAGTCTTCTACAGGACTTTTTGTTGTTTTAATAGTAATAATAACAACCATGCTAACATTTGTGTGTGTTTACTCATCTACTCACACATGTAAAAAATTAAAGTTTAACACATTCAAAGGACGGGTGCCTTTGTACACATGATCTCAATTTAGTGAGATCTCCTATCCTATGAAATTAGTATTGTATTTAGGATAGTGCTCCAGTTATCAAAACGTGTGTAATATATTTCTTTACTTTAGTTATTTTTTTATGAATATTTACTTTCCAAAGCAGAAGACATTCACTTACACTGTGCTAACAGTCAGTCAGAAGGTGATCATTTTGTTTTTTTGTTTAAAGTTGTATTGAACTTCTGTAGGTAATACAACCATCCTACAAAATGCATTCAAAGCATACCTAATATGTATTAGGGATGTAAAATTTTGATTAATTGGCTAATCAAAAGTCAATGCAATTTGCACTATTTGATTAGTCAATAAGGGCACCTCTGCCTCTGAAGTGCAGCAACAGTTCCAGGGCTGTTGCTACATTTCAAAGACAAAAGCATTGCAGGGAGCAGAGGGAAATCAGGTGACCCAAGCAGTCCCCTGCTGGCCACGTGATCCCCATGGTGTTTCAAAGTGGTAGCATTGCATGGAGCCCGAGGATAGCGGGGGAGTGCCCAGCTGACCCCGGGCTGCACGAGATGTTTCAAAGTGGCAGACCCTGGGCTACATGCAGCGCTGCCACTTTGAAGCACCCCCTTGTCTTTCTCCCCTCCTTGCTGCCTCTTTCTGTAGAAGCAGCAAGGGAGAAGAGCGATTAGTTTATTAGGGTGTCAACTATCCAATAATTATTTGCTTATCAGATAGTCAACTAGTCGTTCACATCCCAAATATCTATCATAATTTTAAAAATGTAAGCATATCTTCTATATATAATGATCAAAATCTACATACAAAATAAAAATATTTTAATAGTGATTAATTCAGACAGGAGGCAAGTGATACCAGCTATTAGAGTCACCATCTAAAATTTATATTGTGCTATATAACAAAAGATTTCACAAAATCTAATAATTAAAAAAAAAGTGAAAACATTTCTAACACCCAAAGTCTTAGCGCAAAAGAAATTCAAACTCACAATACAATGAAAAATATGGTATTCTCTCATCCTGTCAAGAGGATATTATGAGACTGATTCATCAGTAACATATTTTTCTGCTACTGGATATAGACAATTTTAAATTTAAATCTTTCCCCACCTTTCCTGTGTTTCTTTCTTTCAGTGATGGGACCCCAGAGAACATATATGCCTGCTGCCAGAGCAGCAGCTATTCCTCCAACAACACCCCAGTTCTTCATTATTTTATGCCTAAAAAAGGAAGGAGAAAAGTCTGTTGTTGTCTATTGGAAAGGCACTAACAACATTAACACTTCATACAGGAATTGCAGGCAAGGACACTATAATACACAGAACACTGATATTTTTGTCCTATGCGATCTTATTTTTGTGTTTTTATCTCCAGCATGTCTTGGTAATTGTTACACTGTCAATACATCGCTCATGAAAACAAAGAACCTAAAGTTTGGAAATAATAGGACTAGCCTTCAGCACAAGCTGCTAACATATGGCCCCTTTGAGTTGGGGTACTGAGCTTAGTCCAGTCCCTTTTGTGCTGGTGATATTACAGATATAAATCCCTAGGAGGAAAAGGATCTGACTCCATACATCTACTATCTATTTGAGTTTATTTGTCTGTCTGACTATGTGTCTCTCAGTCTGTTTGTTCAAAAACTCCTCCTAAATGGTAAGAGCTAGGGTCATCAAATTCAGAATGCAGCTTCTTTTGATCATAACTTAAAGCAAAGTAAGAGTTTGGTTATCCCAGAAAAATGGGATGTGACTGGAACGGGATTGTTTTTCAGGTAGGTTAAAGGAGGTCGCTAGGGGTGTATCTCCCCAGGACTACTCCAGTCCTGAGCATTCAGCACCCCAGGCACCCCTTTAGGGAGGGTGGGGCTGACGCTCTTTCCCCTCCCCATTCATATGGGAACATTGCTGGCTGTTCCCCTTCAGCAGGGAGCAAAGGGAAAGTGCAGCTTGCTGCATTCCTTGCTCTGGCTGGCCAGTGCAAGGGGCAAATGAACCTGAACCTACCCCAGCAGGAGGACATGCATCCTTGTGCTGGAGCTGCAGTGGCCATGGAGAGGCGCTTCTCCCCTGGCCCCAAGCTGCTGCGGTGAGAGAGGGCTGGAGGAGCCCTCTCCCCCCGAGGCAGCCTGTGTA